CAATCTTCTTGAAGAGGATGTAAAATATTTTCGCAGTTGCCTCTACATCTGCTTTCATTGCCTCTGCTGGAATGTTGTCTGGTCCTGCTGCTTTGCCTCTCTTGATTTGTCTGATGGCTATACTGATCTCCTCAATCGTAGGTGCGCCAATATTAATTGGGAGGTCCTTGGATGCTGCTTCGATGTTGGGTGGGTTCAGTGGAGCTGGTCGATTCAATAGTTCCTTAAAGTGCTCTACCCACCTATTTCGCTGTTCATTGTTGCTGATTACTTTGCCTTCCTTGCTTTTCACTAGTCGTTCTGGTTTACGATAGTTTCCGGCCAGCTTCTTTGTTGTTTCGTACAATCATCTCAAGTTTCCGTCTCTTGCAGCCTTTTCCGCCGTCATTGCTAGATCTTCCACATATTTTCGTTTGTCAGCTCTGATGCTCTTCTTCACTTCCCTGTTTGCTTCTGTGTATGCAGTTTGTGCGGTAACTTTCTCTGCTCTTGTTCGGCTGACATTGATTGCTGCCCTCCTGTTCCTCCTTTCTTCAATTTTTGCAAGAGTACAAACAGAGATTCATTCCTTGTGATGGTGCTTCTTGCGACCAATGACCTCCTGACATGTCGAAGTGATCGCCTCCTAAATCCCTTTCCAATTGTACTCCAATGTTGCTTCCTCTCCATTGAGTAGATCCTGAAAGGCCTGGAACCTATTGATGAGGGCTATCTTGAATTCGTTGAGTTTTACGGTATCCCGAAGAAAGGCCGTATTAAACTTGTGTGATGTCGTCTGTCCCGTCGTCCAGTGCTTCTTTAGCTTCAGTTTCATTTTGGCGATCAGCAAATGGTGATCTGAAGCTATATCAGCTCCTCTCTTGGTTCTCACATCCTCCATGGTCCTTCTGAACGTTTTGTTGATACAGATATGGTCAATTTGGATTTGAGTAGTGTGGTCCGGTGAAATCCATGTGGCTTTGTGAATGCGTTTGTGCGGTAATATTGTGCCACCGATGACCAGTTTGTTGAAGGCACATAGGTTTGCAAATCTCTCACCGTTTTCGTTCCTTTCTCCCAGTCTATGTCGTCCCATGATGTCTTCATATCCAGTGTTGTCCATGCCAACCTTGGCATTCAGATCTCCCATAAGAATCGTCAAATCCTTTGGTGAACATTTCTCGACGATTGACTGCAGCCTTTCATAGAATTGATCTTTAACGTCGTCATTGTAGTCATTGGTAGGTGCATAACGTTGGATGTCGTTCATTGTAATGTCCGCTTTCTTTGTTTTGAAGCATGCTTTAATGATCCTCGGTCCATGAGATTCCCATCGTATCAGTGCCTTTTGTGCATGTTTGGACAGCATCAGTGCAACTCCTTGTGTATGTGAAGCATTTTCCTCTTAATGACCAGAGTATAACAGCAGTTCCCCTGAAGTTAGTCTCAGTTGTCCTACCTGTGTCCAATGCGTTTCACTGATGCCGAGCACCTCGAGGTTGTATCTTTTCATTTCTGCCGCAACTTGAAATAGTCTTCCAGTCTCCCACAATGTACGAACGTTCCATGTACCTAAACGAATGGTTGCTCTGGTTGTCAGAAGAGGCATCGGCCCCATGACTTCCGAGGGAACTCGGCTTTCATCACGCGACGTCATAATTCTTCCTCCAACACCCAGGGGAGAGTTAAAATGGTTTGAATGAGTTTTTCTGGTTAGCGTTTTTTTGGCAAGTGAGATTTCAACGGAATGTGGTCGCCAACCCCATGTCCAACCCTCCTCCATTATCCGGGCTTGGGACCGGCAGTAGACCCGAAGGTTCTACTGGCGGAGTTAAATGCCGCTTTTAGGTCCAGGAAAACAACTATTGTAAGACGCCTAAATGTGTGTCTGTGTTCCAGGACCTGTCTGAGTGTGAAGAAGTGGTCTATACCAGCCTGATTTTCTCTAGTCTCCTCTTCACGAGCTTCCATTAAGCGTCGATGTATTATTGAGGCCAATATTTTAGAAACTATATTAGTTAGACTTATTCCCCTGTGATCGTCACAAGAAGATTTTGTCCTTTCATATTGATTGGGATAATCAGTGATTGGGACCACTCGGATGGGATTACGTCCAGTTCCCAGACTCTACCTAAGATCTCAGTCAACCTAGCTGCTAAAACTGGACCGCCATCCTTAAAAATCTCAGGGGTAAGCATATCAGGACCTGCTGCTCTACCTCGCTTCAGATTTCTTAACGCTTTCTCAACGTCAACAAGACTAGGGGGACTTGCGTCGATTTGCCATTCAGGATGACTGGAGATCGTAGGTAACCGAAGAGTAGTGGCTCGAAGCCAGTTGAAGTGATCGCTGTTAGACCATCCTTTTCCGATATAGTCTCACTCACATTCGGGTTCCTAATACCGGTTTCTTTGATAAGGCGGAAAAGTTGTCTATTGTTGCCTATCGCCGCTGCCTTTTCCATCGCTTTCGCTTTCGCCACCCACCACTGTTCGCGGTCGTTACGTAGGCTTTTTATCACTCTTCGCCTAAGCTGACTTCGCTCTTCGTCATGTTCAGAGTCAGGTGGGATGCGTTTTAGAGCATTCGTCAGTTCGGTGGATGTGACTGAAATCCACGGCTTCATCCTAGGCTTACGGTTTACCTTGCTAGCAGATATCACTGCCGTTTCCACAGCCATTTTGATATCATTCCAACCTGACTACGGATGGAAATCATTTGAATGGTTGCTTAACTGTTTTTCTAGTTTCTCCTGAAATATTTTCTTAGCTTGATTATCAATAATGAAAGCCCTAAGAGGCTTCCTTACGGTGTCTTTCCTACGTCCAGTAAGCCTCAAACAGATACGAGCTCGCACCAGGGCATGATCTGAATCCAAAATTGTGCCCTATAACGAGCGGTAGTCCTCTATCGAACCCCTCCATCTGTGGCTGATGGCGATGTGATCTAGTTGAGTCCAACGTTGAGACGACTTTGGGGTCCCAGGTCAACAGATGCTTAGCCTTGTGCCTAAAGTTAGTGTTTGCTATGAATAGGCGGTTATCCGAGCACACTTGCATCAGACGGTCGCCATTGTCTGTTCTTCGAGCCACGACACCATAACATCCATCTAGGTCTCTTTGATTTCCACTTAGTCTACCTACCTGAGCTTTAAAATCATCAGCCATTATTACTACATCAGAGCGCCTAGCTTTTTGGAGGAGGTACGAAAGCTTTCTGTAAAACTCATCTTTTACATCGTCTGGACTGCAGTGAGTGTGGGCGTAGGCTGATATGACGAGTCAACGGCGAGTGTCCCTATCCTTTAGAATCCTTACTGTCCCGTTTAGTCGGACGGTGCACAAGCGACTATCTACAGGCACCCAATCTAGGAGATTGTTCAGCTCTACGACTCAATGCTATACCTACACCAGCGAGACCCCTGGAAGCAGCATCAGGGCTACCGGATACACGAAGTGCAAATCGAGTTGCTTCTTTATCTTGACATGGTGAGGTCAAGTGAATGATGCAACTCGGATACTGTATGCGCGTTTCCGAGACGCAGCACACGTCGATCGCACGAGATTCTAAAGTCCTAGCTAATGATGCCTGTTGCCCTATTTGACACAATGTCCGTACATTAAAAGCTCCAACATGTAGTCTAGAGCGGGCTTTCGGGAGACCAGAAATGGCGTTTTGTGAACTCGCATCGTTTGCATTAGCTGTGCAGTGTGATAAAGGAATGTGAAAAGAGTTAGTTGTGGAGATAAGAGAGGCATTAGGGTATGTAGAAAGGATTTGATTTTGACCAATTTGGTCTCGTGTGCTGTTACGGGTATGAGGGCGGTTGTCACTTACCGGCTGCCCACACCGCGGAAGTTTGTTTCTTGAGGGACCTAAAAAGGAAGATAGCTTAGAGACCTGAGTGCGTGACCGCAGAGCTCAAGGGCAACTGCTTGAGGCCGGTCACGCGCGGCTTTTTTATGAAGGATTTTTTGAGCATTATCTCCGCCTTTAAAAGCCCTCAGTTGGCACCCTTACCGCCAGAGACGGAAATCCGTGAAGTATGGTGAGGTGTGACATTTTTGGGGTCGACCTTTTCTAACCCTTCCTTCCTTGTGAGAAGGTAACATAGCTGCACATGCTGGTTGTCTGAGGGAAACACCTTACTGTTGTCACAGCCCTCTGCAGTCAGCAGTATGACTTCGCCTTTGGATCTTGAGTAGCTGCTTTTAGTCTAATCGCTCTCCAATCGAACTGCCTGGCATGGCAGAACCTTTAGGAACATATGTTGCGGCCAATATAGCTTGATCGGGTCATCTCGATAGGCAACCTTGACCACCATGTCAAGGTTGCAGCTACGTTTGGGTTGCAATTTACAGGTCAAAGTTTAAATGATTTAATTGATTTTTTTAGGTTAGTGTTGTTTAAGCGATGTTCTTTTCTACAGGATGTGGTCGCTAAATCTACGTCCAGTTCTCTTTCCTACGGGTTTGGGATCAGCACTAACCATAGAACTGTTCCAAACAGAGTTGTTACCACAAAGTAAGGTGGAAATAAACTAGAAAACGTTAAAAACCAGTAAACTCTTTTTATTTAATGACCATTAGTCTTTGTCACAGTGTCAGATCTCTGATTCACTTTTATGTTGGAATTTGTTTCTAAATTATTTTTTCTCTGGATACTGTAGTTTGGCTATTACTGCCACCTTTAAGTGTTTCAAAGACGGGTTAAAATCCCAGTTTAGTATATATGTAGTTTAAATAACATTCATGAGCAGACGACAGTCTGCGTTTAAATGGTATCTTGGGACTGATAAGTTTTAATTTTAACATAAGCACTATAAATTTTGTCAGCAATTCAATTTAGTGATAATTAATTTGCATATTGTTTGTGTTGTATAGAATATCTTTCATCACAGCAATATTAGCATGTTTAAATATGAATAGTATGCCCTCAACTCTTATCTGTGTAAACTTAGTTAATTTTAGTGATTCTAGTATTATATGTTTCTAAACCGTGTCACATTTGTGTTTATGAAGTTCAACACTTGTCGTGAAGCCCGTTCTGTGATTGAACAGATAGCATTATCCTTGGCTGCCGCCGAGTCTGCTCTTCAATTTGAACATCGGGACCTACACTGGCACAATGTATTGGTTCGACCTACCCGACAATGGAAACTACGTTATCGTGTTGGGGGAGTGAGTTATGCCGTTCTCACTGAAGGGATACAAGTTACAATAATTGATTTCACAGTATCCCGTCTTTGTCATGGTATGGATTATTTTCTTAATTTGTGTTGTTTTATTCCCCGTTATACTTAATATTATAATAATATCAGACATTATCAAAGAGCTTTTTGTATATTTTTATCCCAGACAGTATTTAGTCCACTTTAACTAGTATTTTTTATTTCACAGCTGTTTCAAATAGCTGCAGTATTTATTTATTGAAACACAAATAATAGTAGCAATAAACAACTGTTCAAACTGGAAACTGGTATTAGGAATCCAGCTGTTAGCGAGACTCTCAGGAAAGGACGGGACTGTTATTCACTTTCAATCCAAGAAACTAAATCGATGGGCCTTCGACTGGCCTTCAGCCACACTTCAGGTATCCACAATTTCCAGTCATCCTGAATGGCAAGTTGATGTAAATCCTTCAACTCTTAATAAGGTTGAAAAGGCTATAGGTAATCTAAGGCGATGGAGAGCAGTATATTCTGATGGGCTCAACTGTGAGATTTTCAAGGATGGTGGTCCAGTTTTAACAGTAAGATTGACTTACGTCTCAGGCAGAATCTGGGAACTAAACGTAAACCCATCTGACTAGTTTCAATCGTTGGTTGTCCTAGTCTATGATAAAGAACAAGTCATCTTCTGACAGTCAGTTAGCTGCAACATAGAAATTCGTACGTAAGTACATATCTTAAGGTTGCCATACCTCATTACCACAGGGAAGCAATTGTCAGTTCAAATCCCATAGTGGTAGAGATGGTAGAAGTACTATTGATATTGAGAAGATTAAGGTTCAAAAATATTATTCAAAAAATATAATTAAGGACAATTTTAATAAGAGGAGGATAAAAGTAATGAGGAATTCTGAAGATAAGGTTGGGTAGAAGCCGTGGATCTCAGTGGCATCCACCGAACTGATAAACGCTCGTAAACTCATCCCACCTGGCTCTGAACATGATGAAGAGCGAAGTTAGCTTAAGCGCAGGCTGATAAAAAGTCTACGCAATGATCGCGAACAGTGGTGGGTAGCGAAAGCAAGGGCGATGAAAAGGGCAGCGGCGATAGGTAACAGCAAACAGCTGTTCCGACTTATCAAAGAAACCGGTATTAGAAATCCATCTTTTAGCCAAACTATCTCGGAAAAGGATGGTATTATTATTCAACCTCAACCCAGGAGATTGGATCAATGGGCAGAACACTTTAGGAATCAGTTTAATTGACCTTCAGCAACGCTTCCATTACGCACGACCTCCAGTCATCCTTAATGGCAAATCAATATATTTCCACCGAGTCTACGAAGTTGAGAAAGCTATAGGAAATCCGAAGCGAGGGAGAGCAGCAGGGCCTGGCAAGCTTATACCTGAGACTTTTAAGGATGGTAGTCCATTTTTAGCAGTTAGATTGACTGAAAACTGAACTTAATCCCATCCAACTGGCCTCAGTCGCTGATTGTCCCGATTTACAGGGAAGGACAAAAGTCCTCTTATGACAATCACAGAGGAATCAGTTTAACTAATACAGCATCTAAAATATTGGCCTCAACAATACTCCGATGCCTAACTAGAGGTCATGAAGAGCAGACTCGAGAAAACCAGATTGGTTTTCGACCTGGACGTGAAGATATGGACCAGACATTCACACTATGTCAGGTCCTGGAACACAGACACTTGTTCAGACGCCCCACAATAGTAGTATTTCTCGACTCAAAAGCGGCATTCGTGAGGTCCTGCGGCAGTGTCTGCCATTCACTCGAACACCATTGATCGAGTGAGAACTTATGGCGAACTGTCATCGGAATTTAATTCAAGTGGTGTCGGTCAGTGCTGTCCACTCTTTCCGTTCTTGCCTAACTTTGTCGTAAATATGCTTTTAGAGTTAACATTAGCATCGTCTGACTTTTCAGGAATGGACCTTCTACCAGGGCACACGCTTGTTGACTTAGAATATGCTGGTGACATAGTTCTGTTCGGTGAAGACGCTGATAAAATGCAGTGTTCCTGACTACTCCAAGTAACAATGCAAGCATGTTCGGGATGCGATTCTCCCCGTCGAAATGCAAAATGTTGCTTCAGGATTGGCTTATACCGGCGCCTGAACGAGTGATAAGGAGTGAAGTAGTTGAGCGTGTTGACCACTTCACCATCTGGGGAGTCTCATCAGTGCTATGGCCTAGTGACTGACGAAATCTCTGCGCGGATACAGAAAGCTCGATTGGCTTTTGCCAACCTGCGTCACTTATGGCGCAGGCGAGCTATGCGTTTGCTAACCAAAGGACGAGTGTACTGTGCAGCAGTTCGCTCCGTCCTACTGTACGGATGCGAAACATGGCGTTAAGAGTAGATGTTCGTAGGTTACTAGTTTTCGATCATAGATGTCTTAGGAGCATTGCTCGTCTACCGTCGGACAACCGAGTAAGCAATGCTGTCGTTAGGAAACGAGTACTAGGTACGGATAGAAAATCAATAGATGAAGTATTGAAACTTCAACAGCTGAGGTGGTTGGAACATGTGTTACGCATGCCCAACCACCGACTACCTCGATGAGCTATGTTTTGTGGTGTAGGAGTAGGTTTAAATAAAGATAGGGGCAGCCAAACCAAAACATTTCAGAAATCCATGAAATCACTGACGAGTGAACTTAGCCATGTCGGTAGTTGTCGACTACGTGGTTGTAGGGTCCGCGAAATGATAATAATCGATGCTTAGATACCCTGAATGACATGGCTCAAAATCGTTTGCAATGGTGCAGGTGCATCCACTCTGTGTTCGCTCAATATCTTTTTTTCCGAATTTGTTAGGGATTAGCATCTTGAATGATGTAGTTGATCATTAATCTCTTCGAATAATCTTGCTTCTAGTTGCTAATGTTGTATGACAGTATCGACTGATGTATGTTCGTACGAAGTTCTATGTTGTAATTGGCTTACTGACTGTCTAAGTATATTTCCGGTTTTAGGTGACATTAACAAGCCGTCTGCGATTAAACCTCCTGTTCAAAGGCTTGTGGACACTCCAATTTGTATTCCGGCACACTATATTGATTTTTGTTGTAACATTCATTCTTATTTCATATCGGGTCAACTCTCTGTGTTACTTGACCCCCAATCCTTTGTATGTTATTTCTCAACCCACAAAGTGATTCATCCATGGTGGGGGTTCTTCCCATTCTAAATAAAATACAACGTATGATTTAATTGCCTACGTAAATTGTTAAAAATCTAATTGGTTTGCTCTAAACTAGAGGTAGCTATAAAAGACTGAAATAGGTGTCTGATTTTTACACCAATTAGCTTTTAGTAACAAGCGGTACTTAGTTTCTTAAACAGGTAAAGTTTCGCAAGTCCATTTCACTTAGTTCAATTTTTTCACGTATAAAGGCAAATCTTGCAAACAATTCTCTTGAATTAATATTGTTGCTGTCGTACATATTCACCACAAAATACTGTTACCATTATCAATCGTCTCCAAGACTCTCATATTTTAGGAGTGAATTTTTTACTTGTTTAGTTATTAAAGTAGTAGCAACGTTTGCGACTATAGCTGCATATTAATACGATTAGGATGTGTTTTCCTTTGAAACCATGCATCAATCGCTTGCGAACAGTCGACATTTAATACTTCACTAACAGTCAGGCTGCGTTTTTGGGTAGGTCGGCCGACTTTAATTTAGCATTTAAAACTACCATGCCTATATTATTTATTTTCCCTTGAGCAGTTTTGGCGTAGATCACATTTTTATGATGTGCGGTGTCCAAGATCCTGACGTCAACACGTGCTAACCCAGAATACTGACTACTTGACCGAGAAGGCAAGAGCAGTAGGGGAAGTATTTTGACTTAGAAAGTGAATCCACTTCTTAACTTGCGATATGCACCCGTCCTGTAGAACATTTCTAATTGTCATCAAGTAACTCTATTGGATCACCTCAGGTTGATTTATTATATCACTTCTGATCTATTCAACTATATTTTTAGAAGGCAACATTGTCTACGTTGATTTGTCGGAGTCGCCTGAAATTTTCGAGTGTGAAGGGGATTATCAATTTGACATTTACCGCATAATGCGCGAAAACAATCGGTATGTTATGGGTGAAATTTTTGTTCTCATACTTTTTTCAAATAACGTAATCATTCATTTACATATGTACATGCATAACTCCCCAAATTTAGTAACATTTAGGCTTCGTTATACTCTTACTCTTACGCCTTTCAATGACAAACAATAGTAGAGAACCCCATCATCTACAGAGTCAAACGCTGTCTTAATATCAAGAAATACAGATATTGTCGTACGTCGAGAACTTTGCATATGTCCTAGGACCTGCTTAAGTGCTAATATTGTTCTATATACCCACATTCAGGTCTAAAATTAGCTTGATTTTCTTGACTTTCTTGTCCACAAGCACTAGTTAGGGAAAACATTCAATGAGGCTGTCACTGTAGTCGTTGTCCTCCATATCTACCAACCCGTTTTAAGAGCTGCATATTCACTTTTCGTAAAAAACACCCCAAGCACAAGAACAGATTTGTAAGTTCGTTGAGATTGGCTTTGTACATGCGATCGTATGAGAGCATTGCTGAGAGACTAACGAATTCCTCCTTTTCTGTCGGTCGTGCAACGACGACTAGGGAGGCGACATGGCACAATGGAAAAAGCGCTCCAATTAATATGACTCGATCGAAACCTCTCGATAAGCAAGCCGACCACCTCGTCGAACCACAGGCTGTAGTCACGATATCCATTGCAGGTAGTAATTACCCACAGATGTAACTCTAAACTAATCCATAGTGTCAAACACTTTACTTACGCCTGTTACCCCCAATGGAGCATAGGCCGCCGACCAGTTTTCTCCAACCAACTCTATCCTGGGCTTTCCTTTCCAGTTCTTCCCAATTTTCGTTCATTCTTCTCATGTCTTTCTCTATTTCTCGGTGTAATGTGTTCTTTGGCCTTCCTCTTTTTTCTTGGTCTTGAGGGTTCCAAGAGAAGGCTTGTCTTGTGACGCAGTTAGGTGCTTTTCGTAACGTGTGTCCTAACCACTTCCACCGCTTCCCCCTGATTTCCTCCTCCTCTGGTTTGTTGTCTCCCACAGTAAATTGTTGCTGATTGTGTCTGGCCAACGAATCCGAAGTATTTTGCGTAGACAGCTGTTCATAAACACTTGTACCTTCCGGATGATGGCTTTCGTAGTTCTCCAAGTTTCCGCTCCATAGAGTAGACCTGTCTTGACATTTGTATTGAAAATCCTGATTTTGGAGTTGATTGATATTTGTTTGGAGTTCCAGATATTTTTCAATTGTAGAAGTGCAGCCCTTGCTTTGCCGATCCGCGACCTCACATCTGCATTGGATCCACCTTGGTTGTCGATGATGCTGCCCAGATATGTAAAGGTGTTAACGTCTTCCACGTTATCTCCATCAAGAGTGATTTGGTTGGTGCATGTTGTGTTGCATGGGAGAATTTTGCTTTTTCCTTTATGTATGTTGAGACCTACTGCTGCACGGGCTGCTGCCACACTGGTCGTCTTCTCTTGCATTTGTTGTTGAGTGTGCGATAGAAGAGCCAGGTCATCTGCGAAGTCCAGATCGTCCAGCTGCGTCCTAACTGTCCAGTTGATACCGTGCTTCCCTCCAGACGTCGACGTCTTCATAATCCAGTCGATGACCAGGAGAAAGAGAAAGGGTGAGAGTAAGCAACCTCGCCTGACACCGGTCTTCACCTCGAGCGAGTCTGTCAGCTGTCCTCCGCGCACGATTTTGCAGTTGAATCCATCATAAGAATTCCGTATGATGTTAACTATTTTCTCAGGCACACCGTAGTGTCGAAGAAGCCTCCACAGTGTTTTCCTATCCACGCTATCGAATGCTTTCTCGTAGTCGATGAAGTTGATGTAGAGTGGTGAATTCCATTCAATTGATTGCTCCACAATGATCCGTAATGTAGCAATTTGGTCAGTACACGATCGATCCTTACAAAATCCAGCCTGTTGATCTCGAAGTTGGGCGTCTACGAAGTCCTTCATTCTGTTTAACAATACTCTGTTGAAGACTTTGCCTGGTATTGAAAGAAGAGTGATGCCTCTGTAGTTCTCACATTTGCTGAGATCGCCTTTCTTTGGTATTTTGATGAGGTATCCTTCTTTCCAATCTGATGGTACTTGTTCCTCATCCCAATCTTCTTGAAGAGGATGTAAAATATTTTCGCAGTTGCCTCTACATCTGCTTTCATTGCCTCTGCTGGAATGTTGTCTGGTCCTGCTGCTTTGCCGTTCTTGATTTGTCTGATGGCCATACTGATCTCCTCAATCGTAGGTGCACCAATATTAATTGGGAGGTCCTTGGACCCAGAACTTCGTGACATGTTGAAGTGATTGCCTCCTTAATCCCTTTCCAATTGTACTTCAATGTTGCGATTGACTGCAGCCTCTCGTAGAATTGATATTTTACGTCTCTATTGTAGTCAGTGGTAGGTGCATAGCATTGGATGAGGTTCATTGTAATATCCTCTTTCTTTGTTTTGAAGGATGCTTTAATTGGTCCTGGGTCCATGAGATTCCCATCGTATCAGTGCCTTTTATGTTTGTTCAGACAATGTTAGTGCAACTCCCTGTGTGTGAAGCATTTTCCTCTTAATGACTAGAGTATAACAGCAGTTCCCCTGAAGCTAGTCTCAGTTTTCCTACTTGTGTCCAATGCGTTTCACTGATGCCGAGCACCTCCATGTTGTATCTTTTCATTTCTGCTGCAACTTGAAATAGTCTTCCAGTCTCCCACAATGTATGAACGTTCCATGTACCTAGAAGAATGGTTGCTCTGGTTTCTCAGAAGGGGCATCGGCCTCGTGACTTCCGAGGAAACTCGGCTTTTATCACGAGACTTTATAATTCTTCTTCCAACTCCCAGGGGAGAGTTAAAATGGTTTGATTTATTTGTTATTGTTAGCGTTTTTTGACAAGTTAGTTTTTAGTTGGGATGGGGTCGCCAACCCTCCTCCTTTATCCGGGCTCGGGACTTGCAGTAGGCCCGAATTTTTCACAGGCGGAGTTATAGAGTCAAACACAGTCATAGCTAAATTCAGAACAAGTAAACTATTTGCTCGATCAACTTTATCTGTTTTTAAAACGTAAATTAACACTTAGTATACAATAATAGAAATTAATACAATCCAGTGAAGAGAGAGAAAAAGAGTGAAGTAAATAACACACTAAACCAAAACATAATGCAGAAAACATGACTCAAAAAAAACTCAATATCGTTTGTGACAAACATGAAAAATTGTGATTGGTACTTCAACAAGGTGAGAGTTAAGTTGTTGATGGATATCTAAGACTGTCATTCGTGGGTTTGTTTATCGATCACACCTTATAACCACATCAACACCAAAATCAAATAAGAGAAAGTACCAGTAGAATCGAAACAACAACGATAAATAGAACTGATAAGTGTTAATCAGTCAGAGAAGTAATAATATGATATGAGTATGGTTCAGAGATGAATGGAGGAACGTGTATGGAATACTGGAAGTGGGCGATCAGTAACAAATACCTCTGCAATTATAGTTATAGCTTGTCCTCATGATTCTAGTGTTAACTGTTTTATTTTCGTATTACAGAAATGATTGGCGTCCCTTTCACCCAAGTTCCAATCTCTATTGGCTTCACTATCTCATGGGGAAACTTTTAAATGAAACATCTTATCCTAGGCGTGATCCCGATTCACAACCCGTGGAATCTGAACTACGTGCACTGTATGACATGATATTAGCGGGTGGCTACAAGTCCGCCACACAGCTTGTTAGCTCAAGTTTCTACTTCGACACCTGTCGAATCGGTTAACAATGACTTGGTGAACCTCTCAAAGCGTCAGAGATTGCCCCTATTTCGTTCTCTTCTGGTTCATCTAATCTTCCATATAAAACCCCTTATTTGTTTTTGTTTTGATGTGTAAAGTAGAACTCTTTTTATTTACATTATAATCGTTTACAAGACGGATGTTACGTTATCAAATTTTCTAAGCGATTTCTCGACAAATGTCCTACGTTTGTGGCCTCAGAATTCTCGTTTTACAGACGTTTCAAAATCGCATTTAAATCTCGTCAGATTTCTAGCATTGTTCAGGTTGTTTATCATCTGATTTTAGTACACAGGTTTCCGCTAGGTTTAATTTATTCATATCACGAATCATTGTATGATATGAAAGATCTCCGCTCTGACTTTATACTTCATAGAACAGCCTGTAATATTTTTGCTAGCCTAGTAACTACTTAAAGCTTACCAACTACTTATTTCTTAAAATACATCCAGGAATTACAACGCCTGCTAAGATTGGGCGGTCAAGGTCACTCTGAGAAAACACCATACGGCGCCTGAGAAGTAATAAGTTAGGGCGAGTTAATCGTACGACTCGTCGGAATGGTTGCTTCTCAATGTGAAACGATCAGATCATAGAGACGAACCTGTGAAGTTAATAGTGGTAATTCCGCATATAGTTGTGTTAACTGCATAAAGAACACTACGAAATCGAACTGGCCACTAAGCACTTGACTTTTGCACACACTCACTTCGAAAGGTATCAGCAGTTGGGAAGCGAGGTTCGACGGTACGTTGATACAAGTTTTGTCCTCGTCCCTGAAACCATTCCTTAACACGTTATGGAAAAATAGTAGTTCTCTTAAGTAGTGTGGACTAGTTTCCGACTGAATATCTAGGTGCATCAGGTGTTTTCATAAGTTAAGTGACTGATCGTGCTTGAGCCTAGTAGGATTAGTTTGTCGATATCCATTGAATCACCGGAATTAGTGTTTTACAACCTACTGATGTAAGTTACTGCTGTTTGAGTATCGTCCATCTACCTCGTGATGGCACCACACTCATGATCCAAATGCCGATCTAGTTGCTCGTGGAACAAATCCAGGGTTTCTTTTGTCAGTAGGACATACAGGTGCATGTCCACATTAGTGTCAATTACATCTGAACATACTAGGAAGCGACGGCCTTCTGTTAATTTCCTCTAACAGTGAGGTCCTCACGTCAAAACATCACTCATCGAGGTAGTCGGTGGTTGGGCATGCGTAACACATGTTCCAACCACCTCAGCTGTTGAAGTTTCAATACATCATCTGTTGATTTTCCATCCGTACCTAGTACTCGTTTCCTAACGACAGCATTGCTTACTCGGTTGTCCGACGATAGACGTGCAATGCTTCTAAGACATCTATGATCGAATGGGTGACTTTAGCGCTTCCTGAAACCAGGGACGGCTATTGTCTCATCCCACGTTTTCAGATGTTAGCAAGCAATTCAGTCAGTTTTCTTGTCAGGGGTTCGCCACCATTCAGATGATTTACGGCACATCAAAAGCTGGAGTTCTCCACTACACTGTAAGGTAGGTCAGTGGTCGACGGCCATGGCGTGCAGGATAGTTTGATGTTGTAGGAGCCAGTGACCAGCCGAATCGCTGTCTAAAACGTCGGTATTTACTGTTGATTAACGTCCCACTATCTTTGCAGATTGTTTTTTTCGCTCTAGTGACTCAAATGAGTTGAGTAAGCTCCACTGGAGTGTGTGATAAGACCTGAGTTCATACAAGCACCGCAAAGGGAGCATAGCCCCGCACTTGGCCACGACAGTTGAAGCTGATCGCGGAGTCCAGGGCAGAGATGTAGGTCGAAGGTGCCAGGTAAGAAATGGCGATCACCGTGTCGATAGTCAGCACTAACAGCCCGCTTAAATCTGCAGCCGACTGCCATTGTTTGACTACTACTCGACTGCAATATTATCTGCTATCTATACATAGTCCTAACAATAGCCTTGAAGTCACATTATGCAAACTTACGTAGTCGAATTACCCCTAGTAAGACTGAAAAGAAGCAATGATATCTGGACGTCGGTAGTAAGTGTCATGAGGCGTCTTACAAATTTGACCTTTCATATGGGCTCGAAACTAGAGGATAGCGAAATACTGAAATACAGTCTTCTTTGCAAATTGTCGTGTTCTTAAGTATAATCCACACCGGTAAGTCTAAATCTTAATAGCATTGCCTGAACAATTGAAATCAACTAAACCTGTGGGCAACAACGAAGCAGTGGAAACTAATTTGGAGATTCGTGGTCTATATTTACGTCTTCTCAAGAAATGGAAAAATTCATGCCCGGATATTCCCAACAGCAGCTTTCTAACACTTCCTCAAACATGAACACATTCAACTCAATTTTAATTCAATCACAGTAGAGAATTCAGCAGTTTCAAACCAACAACCTACAAAGAAATGTGTTACGGAGGTCCGTTACTACTTAAATACAGTAATAAACATATTCAGATTTTCCCTGAGAAAATTCAAACACCATCTCTGTAATTTCCACAGTTTAGTAAAATAGTTGCGGGTAAATAGTGAACAGTTTACTGCCCTTAATTAGGATCACCACAGCCTAATCACGATTAGTATCTGGAAAAGAAATAGTGGATATCATAAATCACGCATAAGTGTTTGGAGATTTTGCAGGCTCTAGGTCAAAACACCAAATCATTGTATGACAGATAAAAGCATCATAAAGTATGTTTGGCACGTACGGTTTTATTATAGAAACGAAATACTTGGCTGAAAAATTAGAAAAACAGAAGTGAAGGATCAGTAACAAATTCAGTGAATAAAACATCCTAAAAACGAGTCTAGGTGTACAAGCGCACAGTGCTGAAGCGCAGATAGGAGTAGGGATGCAAGCACATTAAAAATCAATCACAGGAAAGCCATAAAGATAAGTTTTGAATATTATTCAAAGGTAATGCACAGACTAAGACAGGGCTTATACAAGAAACAACCAGTTGCATCCTGTCCACCATCAATACAGCAAACACGAAGTTATAGTTTGGGACTTTTTCACACCGGATAGTAGAAACGATGCTAAGCTAGTGAGTTTTTATTGCGACATTCACGTGGATGAGGAACGATTATTCATTTGATCAAGATGCTACGCCGGAAGAGAAAAGGCTTTCCCCTTAATTACTAGAAAAATACGCGTGATTAGACACATGCTTACCTTTAGTTATATATAGGTAAAAAAAATCGCAATATAGTAAAGTTTGCAGAACACCTGCAGCGATAGCTATCAAGTCGTAATAGTTCTGGATGTAATATCGATATATCCAGTTGAGTATGTACAAGGCACGATAAGAGCCAAGTGAAAATAAATAGTGTGAAGTGATGGTTTCTGCTTCTCCAGTCTTGCTAATAAGAAACAACTGTGGTAGGATGGCTACTGATTCTAAGTATATAGAAAAGGTCCATAGTATCTATGGAAAAACTGAGCATTATTTAATATAACTTGCCTCGATGAGTCGAAAACGATGGTTGACGATCAATGCTAACACAGCGCATGGAACAAGAAGGAACTCCAGTCGGAATGTGTCGTGATTTCCATCATATGTAGCCTTGAATCTAAAATATATTAAATACAACGTTGCATAAGACGAAACTATGAAGATGATTTTTGCAAGCGAATTGTATAGAGACACATAGGTTGTGAGGAGGTCAACATAACGTGTAGTGAACACGATAGCAAATGCAATTTGACTACGTCCTGACAGACCTGAAACAACGTTATTTGAGGTCATCAGACTATACCTGCACAAGATCGTGTTTTCCAAATCTTCAGTAGTAAGATTATTATAGCTGCAAAATGTGAAGCATCTCCAAAAAACCGAAATATATTCATGGCTACAGGAGTTCGGTATACAGGACGGCAGATCGAACCGGACTGGTGCCAGCATCTATCCTTAATGCATAAACTGACCTGTTTAAACACACCCAGTATACAATATCCAATACCTTGGATTTTTTACGCTTTCTTCCTGCTCTTTTGGTGTGGTTTCAGGTCTTCGGTTATATTCTAAATGTGGTCTATCCGGCGGTTATTTGCAGACATTTGTCTCCTGTAGTCAGACTGATGGCGTCCATTTCAGCCTATTAGGGCTTCTAGGATCATATCATCAGGTAGGAGACTGATCGGCTGAAATGTAGAAATTAAAACAGAATAAATTTGGTCACAGAGAAGTGAAGAAAAGATGACTGTCCGAAGAAAATTAACAGAATAATTATTAATGAAAACTGTGACAGAAAACAAAAGCGTCTGAATTTTCAATAAATTCGGATGACTAGAGACGAGATAGGTGAAAATTGATGATACTCAGCAATGGTAAAAGTAAGGAAGTTGAGAGACATAAATTAGTTGCAGCTAGTCCATGCTGTATATTGTGATCCACAAATGTGTTTATGCAGTCTCTTTTCGAAGCTGTTCATGTATGTGGCTGTTACCGCCTTCAACATTTTGGATGAGAACAACTTCTCATAAAAATATTGGAGCAAATCTGGGTTTTTTCTTAGGTAGAGCCGTTATGTAGTTGTGGCGCCATGTTTTTATGGCTTGATTATGAAGAATGTCGCATTATCAGACCATCTGTTCTCCTGTAGCTCATCCAGGGTGATCCCGGCTGCCGTAGTCTGTCTTCAGAAAGTTTGTTCCGTAGCCTTATCACTCACTTAGTTTCCCCTTCTCTTTACTCGTCCTGAGAGTTTTGCCTCTCGAGAGGAGACCCAGCAACCCCGTGAACTTCAAGGTGGTCAATAGCTAGAAAGTCTATTGAGAGTGGATTTCCCTGAATGCTAAGTCTTTTGGGTACTGTTCCGTCGTAAGTTCACTAAATAATATTCGGCTGATTTAGATTTTGACTCACTGTCCGCTTCTCACTTTCTCAATATCGTGGGGTCCTTAGAGAGCTCAGGTGAATCATTTACGGCTCACATCACGCTCCACCTTTTGGTAGAACCAGCGTGTGTGATGCTTGATTCACTAGTTTAATATAGTAGGTTGCTTAAAAATGTCATGGAGAGGAGTGGTCCTTAGATCGTCCCTTGTGGAGTTCTTGGTGTCGAAATACTCTGGTTTGCATGGACTCTGTTTACTACAATACTAAACATCCGCTTCTCCGAATAACTTTAAAACCAGTGTGGTGCGCGCTACTTATATGTAGTATATGATGCAAGTGAAAACGTAATGTCTGGCAGCAGAAGGTGGGGGAACATCAAGAAAGGAAGAGTAGGAACACAATGGGATTTGCATGAAACGCATGAACAGTGAAGTGTCAGACAATGGATTGATGTTTGCAACAGGAACAGTCCAGTTCGATATGATGGATTGATATTTTGCGAATTAACGAGTTACGATATGGTTTTCCTATTTTACCAATTAACTCTGTAATTTGAGGTAAATACAATTCGGTCGCCCTCACCTGTTTTCTCCTTCACTGCATTTGGTGTCGCTGCCTACACAAAGGATGAAGATTCCGTGGCCGAAGGAATTAGAGGACGGAGATGAGCTTCCTGAAGGAGTTTGAGGCCATTGTGGAGCCGGTGGGTGTGAAGGAGCCGAAGGCAAAGTTGGTGGTGACGGGGACGCTACTGAGAGGTAAGGCAGAGGCCGTATGCGCTAGCTTGGACGGTGCTGGCGGGAAAACGACATGGGAGACGGTCATGGAGTTTGGGACGATAAATGTTACGCTTGTAGAGGGGCAGGACATTGGAAGATAAACTATCCAAGAAGACGACGACGATATTTTAGACATTATAACGTGTGTTCTTTCCACCCTAGGAATCGGGAGGTTCTTGCACTAGTAGATAGAGGGGCAATTTATACCAGAGTATACATAAATGAACAGGAGTTAGTGTGTTTGATCAATACAGGGGCAGCTATATCGTTAATCGACAAAGAGCAATGTAAGACAATCAAACCATGTACATTAGCTGTTCACACCATAGGAGGGCATATGCTAGAGGTGTTGGGGGTATCTAACAGTAATGTAAAAATGGGTGGAGCTGAGATGAATTTTCCGTTCGTAGTAACCACATGCTTATCGAGACCGTTATTAGGAGCAGATTTGTTACGAGAGGTAAAAGCGATAATTGACTTGAGAAGCGGTAAAATGGTCACAAAGTATGGTTCATTGCCAATACACGAAAGGAGCGAAGTGGCTGAAATAAGGGTGACAACGGACGTCGACCAAGAAACCAAACATTAACGAGTTATGCGCAAAGTATGCGAAACTGTTAACTCCGCCAGTAGAACCTTCGGGTCTACTGCCGGTCCCAAGCCCGGATAAAGGAAGAGGGTTGGACATGGGGTTGGCGACCCCATTCCGTCGAAATCTCACTTGCCAAAAAAACGCTAACCAGAAAAACTCATTCAAACCATTTTAACTCTCCCCTGGGAGTTGGAGGAAGAATTATGACGTCGCGTGATGAAAGCCGAGTTCCCTCGGAAGTCACGGGGCCGATGCCTCTTCTGACAACCAGAGCAATCATTCGTTTAGGTACATGGAACGTTCGTACATTGTGGGAGACTGGAAGACTATTTCAAGTTGCGGCAGAAATGAAAAGATACAACCTCGAGATGCTCGGCATCAGTGAAACGCATTGGATACAGGTAGGACAACTGAGACTAGCTTCAGGGGAACTGCTGTTATACTCTGGTCATTAAGAGGAAAATGCTTCACATACACAAGGAGTTGCACTGATGCTGTCCAAACATGCACAAAAGGCACTGATAGGATGGGAATCTCATGGACCCAGGATCATTAAAACATCCTTCAAAACAAATAAAGCGGACATTACAATGAACGTCATCCAACGTTATGCACCTACCAATGACTACAATGACGACGTTAAAGATCAATTCTATGAAAGGCTGCAGTCAATCGTCGAGAAATGTTCACCAAAGGATTTGACGATTCTTATGGGAGATCTGAATGCCAAGGTTGGCATGGACAACACTGGATATGAAGACATCATGGGACGACATAGACTGGGAGAAAGGAACGAAAACGGTGAGAGATTTGCAAACCTATGTGCCTTCAACAAACTGGTCATCGGTGGCACAATATTACCGCACAAACGCATTCACAAAGCCACATGGATTTCACCGGACCACACTACTCAAATCCAAATTGACCATATCTGTATCAACAAAACGTTCAGAAGGACCATGGAGGATGTGAGAACCAAGAGAGGAGCTGATATAGCTTCAGATCACCTTTTGCTGATCGCCAAAATGAAACTGAAGCTAAAGAAGCACTGGACAACGGGACAGACGACATCACACAAGTTTAATACGGCCTTTCTTCGGGATACCGTAAAACTCAACGAATTCAAGATAGCCCTCATCAATAGGTTCCAGGCCTTTCAGGATCTACTCAATGGAGAGGAAGCAACATTGGAGTACAATTGGAAAGGGATTAAGGAGGCAATCACTTCGACATGTCAGGAGGTCATTGGTCGCAAGAAGCACCATCACAAGGAATGAATCTCTGTTTGTACTCTTGCAAAAATTGAAGAAAGGAGGAACAGGAGGGCAGCAATCAATGTCAGCCGAACAAGAGCAGAGAAAGTTACCGCACAAACTGCATACACAGAAGCAAACAGGGAAGTGAAGAAGAGCATCAGAGCTGACAAACGAAAATATGTGGAAGATCTAGCAATGACGGCGGAAAAGGCTGCAAGAGACGGAAACTTGAGATGATTGTACGAAACAACAAAGAAGCTGGCCGGAAACTATCGTAAACCAGAACGACTAGTGAAAAGCAAGGAAGGCAAAGTAATCAGCAACAATGAACAGCGAAATAGGTGGGTAGAGCACTTTAAGGAACTATTGAATCGACCAGCTCCACTGAACCCACCCAACATCGAAGCAGCATCCAAGGACCTCCCAATTAATATTGGCGCACCTACGATTGAGGAGATCAGTATAGCCATCAGACAAATCAAGAACGGCAAAGCAGCAGGACCAGACAACATTCCAGCAGAGGCAATGAAAGCGGATGTAGAGGCAACTGCGAAAATATTTTACATCCTCTTCAAGAAGATTGGGATGAGAAACAAGTACCATCAGATTGGAAAGAAGGATACCTCATCAAAATACCAAAGAAAGGCGATCTCAGCAAATGTGAGAACTACAGAGGCATCACTCTTCTTTCAATACCAGGCAAAGTCTTCAACAGAGTATTGTTAAACAGAATGAAGGACTTCGTAGACGCCCAACTTCGAGATCAACAGGCTGGATTTTGTAAGGATCGATCGTGTACTGACCAAATTGCTACATTACGGATCATTGTGGAGCAATCAATTGAATGGAATTCACCACTCTACATCAACTTCATCGACTACGAGAAAGCATTCGATAGCGTGGATAGGAAAACACTGTGGAGGCTTCTTCGACACTACAGTGTGCCTGAGAAAATAGTTAACATCATACGGAATTCTTATGATGGATTCAACTGCAAAGTCGTGCACGGATGTCAGCTGACAAACTCGCTCGAGGTGAAGACTGGTATCAGGCAAGGTTGCTTACTCTCACCCTTTCTCTTTCTCCTGGTCATCGACTGGATTATGAAGACGTCAACATCTGGAGGGAAGCACGGTATCAACTGGACAGTTAGGACGCAGCTAGACGATCTGGACTTCGCAGATGACCCGGCTCTTCTATCGCACACTCAACAACAAATGCAAGAGAAGACGACCAGTGTAGCAGCAACCTCTGCAGCAGTAGGTCTCAACACACAGAAAGGAAAAAGCAAAATTCTCCCATGCAACACAACATGCACCAACCAAATCACTCTTGATGGAGATAACGTGGAAGACGTTAACAACTTTACATATCTGGGCAGCATCATCGACGAGAAAGGTCGATCGGATGCAGATGTGAGGTCGTGGATTGGCAAAGCAAGGGCTGCATTTCTACAGTTGAAAAATATCTGGAACTCC